AACCTTATTCACAAAAAAAAAACACACTCCTCTGCAAAAAAAGTGTAATTTCTAGAGCCCATGTTTTCAGGCTTGTTTGAATTCTGCTTGCTTGGCTAAGCTAAAGCAAATTCTTGGCAGCAGAATTTTGGCATATTCATTAAGTGCAATACTGTATCATTGCTTTAAAAACATAGTGGATTGTAAATAAACAGTGAACATGATGACTTTCCAAAAAGCCAACACAGCACTAAACAGTAGTTTAGCTAAAGGCAATTTCAATTGTTAATGCTTTTACTGTGTGCTGGTTTCAGCAGTTTTGAAGGTCTTTTTCCTGACTAGTGCTGTTCTGATGTTTAGCTGCTGTGGCCTCTTGGCTGGGGTTGAATCAACCTGTAATTCAGGGTAGCTCTTCCCAACCACTTCTATAGTAACTTGACTGTGATGGTGTGTCTTGCTGCTATAAACATTCTTTTTATTTCAGAAGAAATATTTTATCTATACAATTGAAAGAAAAACCTTTTGATGTGATCATGCTTTCTTTGCCTATATCAAGCTTGTCATCCTAGCTCAGAGTTACAGCAGTGCTGGTTTCAAATTATTGTGTTCAGCTCCTGTGCTGACACATGGTTATATATGCACCAAGTGTGTATGTGCAGATTTGTGATTTGTATCACTTTTACTGCTACTACCTGGAATTGTTTTGTAGAAACATTACTCTAGGAGTAACCAGTAGATCTACAAGTGATGGAACCACCTGAATCCTTCTTCATTTTGGGTACTGCAGAGTCTCTCCCCGTGTGTACAGCCTTCTCCTCAGCTGGCGGCTCCTGGCAGCTCATTTTCATGAGACATAGGAATGGCCTTGTCTTTGAGATCTTTGAGATTGCTTTTGTGCCGTGCTCACAGTAATGAGCATGGAAATCTCAATTCCTCAGAAAACCAGTTGCAATTTTATGATTCAGACTGTATATTACTGCTGGTTTTGGTGGAGTTCCTGATGAGTCTGAAGGGTAAAGCCTGCTTAAAAACTGAAAGCATCATTTGGTTCTTTTCCAGAAATCTGTTTACAAGGGATGCTGATCTAAAGCTACTTAGTGTAAAATACAAAGCTTTTCATTCTTAGGGTGAAACCTGGAGTCTGGATTTGTAGGAACCTGACTCTCATTCTGAGAATCTCACCTACATCATCTACCCATTTTGTCAGGCTCTGTGGCATCCTGAACTTCTGAGGCAACTATTTACGTATCACAGTGATGACTGCAGGATAAATGACAAGGACATTGTTTATATAGAGCTCCCCTCTGACAATCCTTGCCCTCCCACTTCACTGTTGCTTGACACTGGACACATAAGAACTACAAAGAAAAGTCTCATCTTCTCCATATGGAGGCTGCAGAGGATAATGATGTTTACCTAAACCAGAGGGATATTGTGAGCATTCATTGTTTTAACAGTCCATTTCTCATTGTAAAGAAAGATTGTTAAAACCATTGAGAAAGTAGTGTTTTGTAAGAGTTTGGTGGTGAATGTTTATATATTCAGCTCCCACTGTTAGAACATCAACATTTATTTCATTGCATTTTTAGCTGAATAATAACATTCCTTGATTTAAAGTTGCATCTCTCTAATGACCTTTGTTGGATGCTAAATTTTAGCTTGCATTTACATATGAGACACTGCTATTTTGTTAAGTAGGAGACATACTATGAGGATAATCAGTTTATCTTAAGCTGTAATTCTATGTCTAGCACAGATTCAAATTTCTAGGATAGAGAATGGCTAATGCCTTTGTGAAGTCTGGTAAAACATCTCTGAGATAAATCCCAGCATAATGAGATCAGTTAGATCTAACTGTAAAATGGAAGAGAAGCTTCATTTTAATTTTCAAATGCACGGTTTGGTGCTTTGCTTTTTTTATTTTATAATTTGACAGATATATATCTGAAATGTAAAAAATGCTGGAGCTGGATGGATCTTTTGAATATGCCTAAACTAAAAGGGAGAAATGAAACCAAAAAAAAAAAAAACCAAGTAGCTAGCTTCATGTTAGGTTTTCTGTTCCATGGAAACTAATTTGTCCCAATGTAAATTCTCTGGTGAAAGGATCTGCCCACTTTGCAGCTACGAGATCCTTCTTACACAGGTTATGTGGGTACTAAAACAGCGCAGGCAGCAAAATAAGAGTAACAATAATAATTTCAATCACAGAGATCTACAGTTACATATGCAATCAAGGGGTCATTGTCAAATTAGCTAGCATCTGCTTTCTTGGCATTTAGGTTTGTATTTTAACTGATGTGTTAACAACAGTTTCCACTTTTATTTTTAAATATATACCATGCTTTTGTGTTTTAATGCCTTTATTCAATTACAGTCTTTGTGACAGGAATTGGACAAGCACCACTGGAAGAGTAAAGCTGCTATTTAAGCACACAGCATGTGAAATAACAGTGCAAACTTTTTAGGGGCAGTCAGTACAATTTCATTTTGAACTGCCAAGGGAGTAAGACCACCCTAGACGCACAAAATATTACAGAAAAGCTGTATATGTAAAATATGATGGCTTTTTTTCTGAAATTGCTTCAAGCTTTGGAATCTGAGAAGGTAAATAGCGGTGAATAGACTTCTCAAGCTTTAGCAACTGAGACAGCTCAGGAGCTAACAAGAACTGGCACTGTCATTCATGAGTCATGCTAGTTTTGTCACCTGAAAACTGCATGTGACTGGTAACACTTCAGGGAGAAGGAGCACCACTTCTGACAGCTTTTGTGAATCAACAGGACCTTGGCAGTTGTAGGATCCTCAGTTCTCACCATTTCTGAGGCCCAGTGTGGAAGCAGAGCCCTGAGCAAGAGAGAGGGTGACTGAGGGTGCTCATCAGCTCAGCACTGAGCTCGTTCAGAAACTGGCTGTATCTATTACAAAGGAAAGCATGGGAGGCACAAGAGGCAGGTGCTAAAGGACCTGGGGAAAGGCCAATACTACAGCTGGGGCCCAAGATCCTCTTCCTTAGGATCATCTGCCAAGAGCCCAGCTTTCTCCTTTTGGGGCAGAGCAAGACAGCAGGAGGGAAGGTTTGTAGTATCTGTAATGAGGCAGAGGATGTCAGAAGTACTGTGCTACAGGCTGAGACAGAATGGAGTTCCTGGGTTAGGAAGACAGCACCAAAACTTGCTGCCTTTCTCCCTGCATATGTAGTACAGATTGTTTTTTGTTTAATTAGTACTTTCTTTATATTGTGTCACACAACTTGCTGTGGGACTTGGAGAATTTCACCTATGTTTTTCCTTAATTTTTAAGATAATACTTGATCAGCCAAATGAAAAGCTCCTAAATCCAGAAAAACAGTAAAAAATTTGAACAGGAACTAAAACTGGGAGCACTGCTGTCTGCATATCTATACCTATTTATCTACAGCCATACACTCCAAGCATGCTCAGGAAAGATAATTGGCACTGACATGAAGTTGCCTGTATTGGTACATCGCCAGAACCCTTCCCAGCCCAAATTTGGCTCTTGTAGTACCATTCCCAGTGACACGCGGATTGACTCCACAACTCGTTAGAGCTGTAAAGTAGGTATGCTTTATTCAGCACTGAGGCACATGGGGGTTACTGCTCCAAAAGCATGTGCACTCTCCTTTGCCACTCAGTTCATTTATATTATATATAATGATTACCTAAACATGAGATTGCGTCACGCCTAATACATATGCAAAACCTATTCCAGTCTAGTATTATAATTAGTTTTCTGGCATTCATCCCATTGGTGCGCCTGCGCAGTGCCTCCTGGTGGTGGTCGTTAGGGGGTCGTGAGGATGAAGGCCTGTAGTTCCTCTTCATCACCGCGAGTAACCTCTTGCTTTCAGGCAGACTCAATGGGGTTTCGGCTCCTATCCAAACCTCAGGTTCAGTACAAGCCGGTTTTATGTATCTTAAAGCAGAAACTCGTCAAGTTTGCAAATTTTGTTACTCTGGCTATCTTTTGTTCCTTTTCTTTCTAAAATACTATTTGAACAAGAGTGTCTTAAATATTAAGCTATGAATCTTACCTACTACAATTCTGCCTAGCAGCTGTAACTCCTACAATTCTGCTTCACCATTCTAGCAACTTCGACTCCTACGGTTCTGCTTCACCAAGCAAAGCGACTGCTTAAGTAAGCAGGCACAATGTTAACCTTTTATTTCCCGGTATCACCAGGAGCTCTTCCCAGCCCCTGGCAATGGGGAGGGACTGTTCCCAGCAGAGTCCGTGTTGGGAGCTGAGGCAGCTCACCAGCGCTGGCACAGGCAGCTCTCTGCCAGCTGGCCTTGGCGGAGCACTGAATTTACTGGTGTAGATGAAGCCTTCCTATCTGTAACAGTCCAGTCTTTTACATACATTTAATACACTCCTTAAAACAAGACTTTACACTGTTGTCTTGTTCCGGTCTTGGGATTTCCCCATGAGGGTGGGTCTGTCTCGCAGGAAGTGCAGCTGCACTGAAACAGCTGGTTTCAGTGCTGTGCAGAAGCACGTGGCCAAAGGAACCTCTGTGGGCAAAAAGCTCTGCCTGCAGCAGCCCACAGACTACCTGAAGAGATGCAGAACTTCGTGGTTACGGAAACTGGCAATAATCATAGAATCATAGAACAGGGTTGGAAAGGACCTTAAGATCATCTAGTTCCAACCCCCTGCAATGGGCAGGGACACCTCACACCTAACCATGTCACCCAAGGCTCTGTCCAACCTGGCCTTGAACACTGCCAGGGATGGAGCATTCACAGCTTCTTTGGACCAGTGCCTCACCACCCTCACAGTAAAGAGCTTCTTCCTTATATTGAACCTAAACAAGAGTGTATGGGGAGGAAAAGCGGCCCTCCTGAATTGCGCTGTTCTGCGGAACACAGCTAGGACAGCAGGGTGATCACAACAGAGGCCTGTATGGCACAGTTTATAATTAGCCAGCTCTGGAATAGCTTGGGAGCATCCCAATGTCAATGACAGGGGGAGCAGCGCTTCCCCTGCGCACACCCCACCGGAAGTGCACCACTGTCCCGCCCACCCGCTCGCCAAGATGGCTGCGTCTACAGCTGGGTCAGCTGCTCGGCGGCTTTTCCTGCCTTGGTCTGCTCGCCTTCTGCGAGCGGCCGGCTCGGGGCACCGGGTAGGCAGCGGAGCGGGGAAGGGAAGGGAAGGTGGACTGCGGAGAGCCCAAGCGCCCCACTGTTTCCTAACGTTGGTGCTTAGGCAGCCGCAGCAGGACGAGAGGGGATCGGAGGCCGGGAGGCGCGATGCACGCCGGGATTTGTAGTCGTGGCGGCGGGGAAGGGGGTGGTGCTGGTGGCGGCCTGCGCGGTGCATAGTGGGAGTTGTAGTCTCCGGCCGAGGTGAAGGTGGTGGCCGCTCCTCGGCCGGACACAGGGCTCTTGGTGCCGCAGGCCCCAGGGTTTGCTGCTCGCTCCCCCCGGGCCGCTGTTATTCCATATCGACCCCCGTGGCGCTGAGGCATAGGAGACTGGCTCGGCGTCTGGGGGGAAGGAACAGTGCGGCGCTGGAACTGAGGCGCGATGCCTTCGAGAGGGGCAGCGGCAGGCTCTGTCCCCGGCGCGGGGCTTGTCCTGCTCACCCCAGAGCAGTCTAGAGACAGTTTACATTCTCCTTCTCTGCTGTTGGTAGATGGAGGCTGCCTGCAGGACTCGATCCTAGAGCTCTCCCAGTCTGTCAGTTTTCCTCATTCTCCCAGTTTGAAGCCTAAACTTTTCCTTCTGTAAACAGAAGAAGGAGATTTTGTGTTCAGACACAGATTTTTCCTTCCCCGTAATGCAGTATGACAGTGAAAATGATCCCTTGCGACAGCCCAGAGTGGGAGCTGTTCTGTGGAAGAGGCCTGGGGGTGCAGGAGGACAGCAAGTTGTGCAGGCCAACAGTGTGTCCGGCAGCTGCGTGGGCTGAAGCAGCAGGAACACAACCAGCTGATCAAATAAAGTGACTAGATTGTCCTTGTCAGGCAGTTAGTATATGGCAGATGGTTTTCAGCTCCTCAGCATAAGGACATTAGTGGACTGGACTGTGTTCAGCAGAGATGGTTGCAGGCTGTAGCATGTACCCTATGAGGAGAAGCTGGCATGTCTAGAGAAGTCACAGCTTCAGTTGGACCTACCAGCAGCCTGACAGAACCCATCAGAAGATTGTCAGGAAGACAAAAACAGGCTTTTTACAGTGGGCCGTGATGGCAGAATGAGAGGCAAGGGCATAAGTTGCAACAGGAGAGGAAAAACTGGTTGTATGAAAACTCTGTTTTCCTGTGAGGCAGTCAGACAGTGGAGCAGGCTGCCCAGGGAGACTGTAGAGTTTCTCACCATCCTGGGAGACTTTCAACACCCAGCTGCAAAAAGCCTGGAGCAAACTGGTGTGACCCCCCCCCCCCCCCCCAAGCTGATCCTGCTTGGAGCAGGAGGCTGGACTCGAGACCTCCTGAGGTGAGGTCCTTTCAAGCTTGAATTGAAGTTAAAAACTTCAAACTTGAAACTCAGAATTGAATAATCCTAAAAGACTCTGGCCTATTGGTATTCCATGATCAGAGCAAGATTTGGATTTTGTACTTTCACCTTAGGGCAGTCACATGGTGAAGGAACTATTTGTTTATTTGCTGTAATAGTGTTCTTGGAGTATCTGATTGCTCAAATTTGGGATACATGTTTAAATTTCTTGATGTTGAAAAAGTGCAGTAAACCTTTTTTTAACCTCCATGTTTTCTACCCCATTCTGATTTAATGTACTTTAACTGCCAGGTGATTGTATAAAAGCTGGCACTTTCAATATCTGTCCCTGTTCTGAACAGTGGGTGACTGGTTTGCAGTCCTGGACATAGACCCTTTGGTCTATATCTCCCTTAACTTTAGAAAGCAGGTATCCAAAAGAATTCCAGATATTGAAGGATCCGTTCAAGGCCCTGCAGGCTCTTGCTGGTGGCACTGGGAAACAAGCATGGCTTATGTTGGTGGCTGATGATAGTAACATGCGTTTCTGTCAGATCATTTCATTGAAGGGAAGCAGATGCAGTATGCTGCGTTTTAGTTATCTTCATGTTTTTCTTCCGAGTCACATTAATGCATCCCTGATGTGAAGTTAGGATGTAACTTAACAATCTGAGTGTGACTGATGCTTTTTGCTTACAGTGTGTGCATGTTGGAACAGGCAGGCTCAGAGCTTCCAAGGCAGCGACAGAAGTAATCTTAAATGTTCCTGAAACCAGAGTGAGTCCTCTGGAAAATGGCATGCAAGTAGCTTCTGAAGACTCTGGACTCTCAACATGCACAGTAGGTAACTTGTAAAGGTTGTGGTTTTTTTGGAACAGTTAATGTGTGTTCATTTCCTTGTGTAACTAAATTGCATTATTTCAGTGTTTGCAGTAATTGTTCTTAAAACTTAAGCTAGGAAGTATAAGTCTTAAGGCTTTTGTAAATGATTTGTGATTAGATTTTTTTCGTGAGGATCAAGATCTTACTTGTCTTGAAAACCTGCTTTGTTTAAGGAAAAAGCAGTTTAAAAATAGGTCTTGAAAATCTAAGTGTAGTTCATGCACAAAACCAGCAAAGCTGCATTGTTAGCTGGTAAAATGACGTTTGTTTTCTTTTTCTTTCCCCCAATGAGGTTGGACTTTGGATTGATGCTGGAAGCAGGTATGAAAACGAGAAGAACAATGGAACTGCTCACTTCCTTGAGCATATGGCTTTCAAGGTAAGTATTAGTATTGATCATGGATTTTTAAATTATTTCCTTAAAGATCGATGTGAAGAACTTTGTCAGAATTGTATAAATACAGTTTCCAAGTCAAGATGAAAGGGGGGGGGGGGAGGAAAAAGGACAACTTAGACTTCAGTTTCTATTAGAAAATGAAGCTAAAGTCCTAGTTCTGTGTAGCTAACACACAGCTATAAGTTAGTAACACAGGTCAATTTAACTCACTTTTAACTTCTTGTAATAGTCTTAGCATACATAGAGTCCCACCTTTTGCCAACTTTCTATTTTCATTTGGGGGAATAGTAAGATTTGTATTTGCTTTTCAATCTTGGAGAGATTAGTGTGCCAGTTTTCTTTCTGGAAGACTTTTTCTTTCTCCTGAGCTTGACTTTCCCAGACAAGAAGTAATGGTGCATAGGTAAATTAAAGGGTCTAGTTTGATTTTCTTACTGTTTTGTTTCAGGGAACAAAAAAGAGGTCTCAGTTAGACCTTGAACTAGAGATTGAGAACATGGGAGCTCATCTGAATGCATATACATCCAGGGAACAAACTGTCTATTATGCAAAGGCTTTCTCAAAAGACTTACCAAGAGGTAACTGCTTTTATTCGTCAGAAAAGTAACAACAAAACACTTCTCCAGTTCCTGATGAGATGACACAGAGTGATGCTTTTGCAGCGTAACAATCCTTTCCTTCCTGGGTGACGAGTCCTGTCTTGCACCTCACAGGAGAATGAGAATGCAGGTTTGGAAAGGGAAAGTCAATACTTGAAATACTTTTGTCTTTAGGTTCCCAGAAGAAAATACCTTTTGGACTTGTCCCTTCAGAGCAAGCCCTTTGCGGATCTTATTAGTGAATCTCAGGCCACTTGGTTGTTGGGGTGGGTTTTACTTTTGGAACCAGAGTTTTCTGGTAGTCTGAAAATATACTTTGCATTCCCATCTCTATTTTCAATTAGCTGTGGAAATCCTTGCTGACATAATTCAGAACAGTACCCTGGGAGAAGCAGAGATTGAGCGTGAGCGAGGAGTTATACTTCGAGAGATGCAAGAGGTTGAAACCAATTTGCAAGAAGTTGTCTTTGATTACCTGCATGCTACAGCCTATCAGAAGACAGCCCTAGGACGGACAATTTTAGGACCCACTGAAAACATCAAGTATGTTCAGATTTGTGGCTGTCTTTCATTGTGTGTTGACTTTCATATATTGAAAAGAATCATCTGAAAATACAGGGAACAGTGTCAATTTTCATGTTTATACTGGGAGGTAGCTGAAGTTGCACTGGATATTAACTATAAGAAGAATTCCTTTGTTGCCTTAATTCCCCATTATGCAGGTAGCAAGGGTATGTGTCTACTACATGTCTTCATTATTTGCTGTATTTTTCTCCTGTTTGTTAAAAATGCATCTGACACAAACTTGGAAATGCTCCTCTTCCCCATCAGTCAGATGTTATTTACATTACTGTAAACACCGCTGTGTCTGCCCTGCTCTTCCACCATTGCTTATAGCAGCGCAGACCAAGAGACCACTAAATGTGCTGTTTGGTGTGAGGTCATTAGTGGGTCCTGTCTCTACCTGCCTGAAGTGTAGTTCTCATGTCTTCTCAGGAAGCTAGAAGAGCTTTGAGAGGCAAAATATATCAAGTTCCTATTTCCTTTTTAGGAACTCCACCTTTATTTTAGCTTTCTGTCTCTCTGCTCTGTGCATTGGCAGAACTTATAATTATTTTTGTACTGTATTCTACACTTTTATCTCTTTGTACTCTTAATAAACTTTACCGACACAGTAGTGATGTTTTCTTGACTGTTTCTAGGTCCATAAACCGTAATGACTTGGTGGAGTACATAACAACGCATTACAAAGGACCCAGAATGGTTCTGGCTGCTGCTGGAGGTTAGTGTGAGATATTCACCCTGGGTCGTGTGAAACTGTGTTTAAAACCATGGTCTTTAAGTTTCTGGGAACAACATGATGAATTTCTGCATTGTTCAGTAGGTCTTGGAAGTTCATTGTTAGCCTTGTGTGTTTTGTGCCTTCATACCCTTTGAACTTTCTTTCCCTTTTCCCCTCAGTAATATTCCAGAAACCTTCTTAAACCAGCCACTAGAAGTGAATGGAGGCCAAAGTCATTCTTCTATGGGGGCAGTAAAAGAGAGGCTTAGAAGTGGTTCATTGTGAAAAGAGGAGTTACAAGGAAAGCAGAGAGAGCAAGAGAGAAATAGCATCAAGGCTTGAAACTGGGAGCAAACAGCTTGTGTAATGTTAATAGTGTAGTGTTTAACAGAAGGCTATCGAGGAGAATTAAGGAGGGTGTTGATGATGATCCTACTCTGTGTAACAGGGAGTTGTGAGGAATCTGAAAGTGGGGCATTACTGGGGGAGAAAATAAATTACTGCTTGGTTGAGTTTATAAGCTGCCTGCGCAGCAATTTAAATTAACTGTTTAGAAAGTAACACTACAAAGTATGTGAAATGTCTTTGCGCAGGGGTCTCTCATGATGAGCTACTTGATTTAGCAAAGTGCCATTTTGGTAACTTGCCATCTGCTCCAGAAGGAGGACTGCCACCCCTGCCACCTTGTCACTTCACAGGTAGTGAGGTAAGCTGTCAGATGGCTTTTTGAGCTGGTCCTTATATCCTCTGTGAGCACAACTGACACATGCTGTCTGCTGAGGAAAGCTTCTCCGCCACAGGTAAGGCGGATTAAAAGGTTTCTTGCCCCCAGTGACAGCAGTAAAGTATCCCCTTGCCTGTGGTGTTGGAGCATTTCCACTTGTTAAGAATCACAAATTTAAAGGTTATAGCAGAGAACTGGAGCATCTGTGTTCTGTTCCCAGCTCTATTTGGAATCATCAGCTTTCATTGCTGCTGTTAGTTGTAAAGTGGCTTGTAATGCCCTCTTCATGTATATGGCATTAGGTTTGCTATTGGCAAAGTGCTCTGAAACTGCCACAGGGAAGACTAGTTAAGGCCGATGTGGAATGAAAGCTTCATATGCTTTAGTTTTTTGTTCTCTTTGTGCATGATTTGCAATCCAGGTGTAATCGAAATGCCTGTCTCCTGATACTGAACTTCCCACATACATTGCCATGTACAAATTGCACTACAGCTACTTTGGTGTGTTCCTACAGATCCGTATACGAGATGATAAGATGCCCTTGGCGCACATGGCGATAGCTGTTGAAGCAGCTGGCTGGTCCCACCCAGATACAATCCCCCTAATGGTAGCAAATACTCTGATAGGTAACTGGGATCGTTCCTTTGGAGGAGGCGTGGTGAGTGAATGTGCAAGCACCGTCCTGCTTCTAACAGGGTTGGTGGGCTGGTGAGATCCTCTGACTTGGGAACTGCCACATTCAAACCTGTCAGATGGCATTACTACCTTATGGCTGTTTCTGAAGGCCCTTTTTTGGAATGAAGGAGCGGGAGCCAGTCGTGAGACTGAGAAAATTTGTTGCCCAAGATCTAGGAAAATCTTAGGAAGTGGCTCTAAACCACCAAAATAGAGGTGACTTGAGGTCTGCCAACCCTTAGGTAAAGTGGGATGTTTCATATCTGCATGTCATTGGAATCAGAGGGTATCATTAACTGTCCCTCTCAAACCTAAGTAGCTTTATGATTTCTTGCTTAAATCTGGGGTGTTACTTGGTAATGTGAAGGAAAGGAACTGTTGAGTGAAGAGCTAGTAATAAGCCTCACAGCTTCTGCTGCAGCCTGTGACATTACTGCATGTTCTGTCATCATTGAAAGGAAAACAGGAGACTATGGAGGTGACTCCATGGAGGAGGACTATGGAAGCTTTCAGAAAACTTCACAAAATAATCTCTTTTTCTTTTGCCTCAGCAGAATTTATCCAGTAAACTTGCTCAGATTGCCTGCCATGGTAATCTGTGTCACAGTTTCCAGTCCTTCAACACCTGCTACACTGACACTGGGCTGTGGGGACTGTATATGGTCTGTGAGCCATCCACTGTACAGGACATGGTGCACTTTGTTCAGAGAGAATGGTAAGCTAACAACTGCTTCTCTGAAGAGCTTGTTTTCAGGGGAGGAGTACAATTCTTTAAAAATAGCAGTCCTTTAAAGAGAATATGTTTGTTTCTCTGCTGAGGCTTGCCTGGAAAAACAAATGCATCAGACTCTAAACACTGGCACCTAGTGCAGAGTTCCAGCAGCCAGTTTCTGGCACCCTCACTTAGGGTGCATAGCTTAAGGTTTATGTTTGGTTTTCTTTTTCTGCTCTGGAAGAATAAATAGTAACTAGTTAGTGTAGTAGCATTCCTTGTAGAAGAAAATATGGCAGTGATGGTTTTTGACTTTGCAAGTGACGAGTTAAGGAACGGTTTCAAACCTTTTAGAATACAACCAAGTCAGTACACAGTGCCCATGAACTGTGTTTGACGACTGGAAGAGTAAATATTCATGAATAAGACTAATGCACATGCAATTACCTACACACACGATTAGTCCTACCCATTTTGTAGATGCCATGCCAGGCAATGGTGTTACACAGAGCTCTAGTGAGAGAAATCAGGTAAGGCAGGTGAGCTGTTATGTATAGAATTTTCAAACCTGGGATTCTAGAAAATATTAATTCATCTAGAACTTAAATCTTATGTGGAAAAGATGTCTGTAGATTCAGCTGTAACACTTGAACTGCAGATGTGATTAGAAACTCACATATGTTGTTTAAGAGCAGGTTTAAAGTGGTGATGTTGAAATGAAACTTGAAAATGAGGAGTTTCTGTAACCATGCAGATCACTTTTTGTAGGCCATTATTTTGCGAGATCTCTGTAAATTGTGGAGATAAATGGCATCACTTTAGCTGTCAGTTTCCTGCAGCTTAGCACTGGGGAAGATCTGAACCACTCCTGTGACAAGAGTGTGTTAAAAGTATCTACTGCATCTCTGTGTCCTGATAGAATGTTCCAGCTGCAGTGTGGCGAATCGTTGTCTCACCAAGAGCCAGGAAGTAATGGATTGCCTTCTGGGCTAAGTACTTCTAATTGTTTGGCTCCTACTGTCTTAGCAACAGCTATTCTCAAGCAAGTATGGACTACATTTGGTTCACTTTTCCTGGCTCTGCTAGGGAAAACTTGGTCTTGGGTATATTGGTTTGCTTCCAAAAAATGCAACTGTTACACTGCTGCTTTGCATCCTAGGGCTTGTTTCCATACCATACCTGTCTAGAGGAAAGTGCCTGGTAGGTGTACAAATGTATATGCACCACTTTATCACAGGCAATGTGTGCTACAGGTTACTGTTGTTTAGTGCCTTTGGATTTAAACTATTTTTCAGGATGAGACTTTGCACAAATGTTACAGAAAATGAAGTTGCTCGAGCGAAAAATCTTCTGAAGACAAATATGCTGCTACAGCTTGATGGTGAGACCTCTTAAAAGAGCTTTTTGTCCTTATTGGAGTTGTACGCTGATAACTGAAGCACATTTTCCCCTATTTTAGGGTCCACACCAATCTGTGAAGACATTGGAAGACAAATGCTGTGTTATAAGCGCCGAATCCCAATTCCAGAACTTGAGGCAAGAATTGAAGTAAGTGGCACTCATGTTGCAACTTTTAAAGCAGACTGCTGGGAAATTCAGTTGCTCCAGGAACTAACAATACAGAAGTTTGACTGTTTCTAACTGAGTCAGTGTTCAGCTATTTTTTTTGTTGCCTGTCCCCCAGATTATACGCAATTAAGATCAGAAACTGTTTTAGATGGGACGGGTAACAAAAGATGTCTCTTTACCCCTTGTAGGCTATTGATGCCCAGACTATTAGAGAAGTCTGCACAAAGTACATCTATGAAAAGCATCCTGCAGTTGCTGCCATGGGTATGTGTTTCCCTACTTTCCCATACCCCCTCCACACCAATCACTATCAGTTTAGCATGTGTCATGTCCAACTTTCTTTAACTTCTAGGTCCAATTGAGCAACTTCCAGAGTATAACAAAATCTGCAGTGGCATGCACTGGCTTCAGGAGTAGTGGAAAACAAGAACTTTCAGTGTGTTTGAGCTTAACCCCCCCCCCGAAATCCACACAGAAAACCCCAACTACACCCCTGTTTAAAGCTTCTGAGTTGAAGAAATGCATTTGAGAAGATTAAATCTGAAGAACGAGCCAGTCCTGTGTATCTGTGTAATTAAGGAAGGAATGAAAACATGTACAGTATTTGCATTTTTATTATAAAACAAAGATTGTCAGTAAGAGTCATTTCTTGACTTTAGTAGCATTCATCACTTGTTCTTGAGCAGCTTTCTTTGCCTTGACCATTTCAACGAGTTCCTGAAGTTTTGGGGAGAAGAAAAAAAGAAGAGTTCCTTATCTACACGTGGAATTTGTTACCACCACTGTTGTTTGAATGCTACATATATTCAGGTTGAAGCATTCTGGTCCTCAGTATACTGAGGAGTCCAGGCAGTTTAATACCTTAAAGCAATTTCTCTTAGAAACAAATTAATGAAAGGTCAATGCTCATCTATGTCTGTAGCAGGAACTCTTGCTTACAAGAGGCTGGGGATCTGGCATCTACAGGAGCTTGCTGTCCCATTGTAAGACAGACAGATTTTGTGAGGCAGACTTTCCTTCCCAGCTTCCAGAGCCTCTGTTTTCACTGAGTAAAACTTAGTCCTTGCTGTGCTTTTGGGGTCTGAGTTACCAAAAAAACCGCAAAACCCCATTTCCTCACAAGGCTCCATCTTCTGCCAGTCTGTTATTGTCAGATACTCCCTCTGGTAGGGAAGGCAGTAGGGTAGGGAACCCTAGAAACCTAAAGCATTCTAACAAAACCTGGGCTAATTACATTCCTAGAGGGAGGTGGGGTACCTTACCTTATATCGCTTCATGCAGTCTTTTTTTGACCGGCCTGGAACAGCTGCTGCTATTTTCTCCCATCTTTCAGGAGTATTTACTGGGTAAGTCTTCAATGCTTGTTCTAAAAGCTTTTGTTCTTCTGTAGTCCAAGGGGATGAATCTAAAGGTGATCCTGTTTTTAAAGGCAAAAATGACAATGAGAAATACGTAAGGAGACTATGAGGTACGCCTAAGAACAACTAGTCTGACTTAAGTGCTGCTGAGTTAAAAACCTGAAAGAACATAAAACACCAAACCACTAAAAATCCCAACCCTGAAACTGAATGAACAAGTAGCCCTTAGGATCTTTAAACAAAGCATGGAGAAGTTCAAAGGTAACATCTTTCATTGTCATCTGGGTGTTAACTTGCTGTAGCTGCCCTGTGAAGCTATAGTGATAGAGCAGCAGTGTAGCTTTTCCTTTTGTGTTTCAGTAGTCAGGAAACACAGCCTTCTGCAAGTGTATGGAAAAGCTGATGGGAGGCATTTGGGGTTTAACAGAAGACCAAAGCTGTACGACAATCCTGTATCTTGAGTGCATCCCCTCAGGCCTACTTTTACCTGGAAAAGCAGCACTCTCTGAGGAACAGATGATCTCAGCATCAGACTTGACCTGTTGCTTCACCAGGAAGCATTTCAGACTGGTACTCTTTAGTTAACTGTGACTTGTCCTGTGTGTACCAGCAACCCTCAAATCCAATTACAGAGCCTGGATCACTTGCTACATATGTCTGTTTATAAGCAAGTCTTAAGTTCTGGATTACATTCTAAGAGGCACAGGGGAGACAACTCTGGAAGAAGGGCTCCTCTTTCACCTTTACCTTCAAATCGTTCTGAGGGGGCAGCACTGTCCATCTGAGGCACCACACCATGTTCTTTCTTAAATTTGTCAAATGCTTTCTTGTTGATATCATCTTTTTGATGAGGGTCTATGAGCAACAGACATTGAGAACAGTGATCATTGCAATGAAGTTAAAACCAGGTGTAATGATAAAAACATTGTCTAGCAGATTATTAGTTTACAATAACCACATCATCAAATACCCCCAATTCCTACTTCCTTTAAAATGATGGTAAATAGAGTGGTAGATTAAAAAATAACCTTTCAGGGTCAAATAAACTGCGCAAAGTGTCAGGCTTTCCAGCCCCTATCCTGTTCAGGTGAATACTTCCTCCATGTAAACTTAAGCCTGAACCTGCTACTTCAATGAGATCAAGAGGGATTATTCTCTCAAATAAGGGCTGTGGCACAAAACTTGCATATTACCCAGAGCACAAGCAAAAGTGAGAACACTCAAAAGTCCAGGTCCTCCTTGTGTAGGGATGTAGGTTGGAACATTTAGAAAATAGGGGTTTTTCTTCTATAGTGGGATGTTTTGGTTTTCCTTGAGAATTTATTCCAGAGCTGTCTAGGCTCCATTTACCACATTAATGCAGGTGTCTTAACTCTGGTGCTGGATCCCACTCATCTTTTTAAAGTATCTCTCTAGCTTCCTCAGTTCCATTTATTCTAGATGCCTTCCTTTGTAGGGAGCTTTCCCACAGGCCCATTTGCCTCTCTCTGAGTGCAGAAGAGCCTTGGCAATGCGTGTGGCCTACACTTCTGTACATCAAGTTTAAGAGAATTCCTGAGTTAGTCATGACATTAAGCTAAAAATGCTGAATCACATACATGCTCTGCTGTTCTTTTGGGAATATAGAGAGGATTTTCTCATAACAGAAACAATGCAGTTCAAAGCTAAGCTGTACAGAAGCATGCAGGCCATCTCGTTACAGAAATAAGGTTATATAGATACCAAGCTTTTGGAGGCTCTTGGCTTTATTGATGACATCTTTCGCTGTTCGTTTCATTCCAGTAGTAGAGTGCAAGTTCATGTAATTGGCAATAACTTCCCACCTAAAGCAAGAACAGAAAGGGTCAACCAGCATATCACGTAATAGCTTATCTTCACACAAGATACAGTCAAACTCCTGTACATACTTAAATTGACTCCTAAGTTTAATCATACTTAAATACCTATAAACTCTAATGGTAATTACTCTGGAAAGCTTTCACTCACTAAATGCAGATGTTACCCTTAAGAATTCAGTCAGCTTGGGTGAATGTTTTAGCTTCTGATACAGAAAAAGTATGGGTAGAATGCTCAGCTGTTGATTTCCAGAATTCCTTTAACACCTCTGACATTAAATACGGCAGGCTGCACTGAAAGGGCTGAGAAGTTACTAGCTCTGTGTCCACCATCCCTCAGCAGAATACCTAAACATCAGATAAAAGGCCTTCAACAGAAGAGAGCTGTAACAGCCTTAGCCCCACAATTATTCCTAGTGCATTCTTAGGAAATGGAAGGGAATATTTACACCTGATCTTACAGGAGGATCATAGAATAGTTAGGGTTGGAAAGGACTTTAAGATCATCAAGTTCCAACCCCCTGCTGTGGGCAGGGACACCTCACACTAAACCATGTCACCCAAGGCTCCGTCCAGCCCAGCCTTAAACACTGCCAGGGATGGAGCATTCACAACTTCTCTGGGCAACCCATTCCAGTGCCTCACCGCCCTAACAGTAAAGAACTTCCTCCTTATATCCAATCTAAACTTCCCCTGTTTAAGTTTGAACCCGTTACCCCTTGTTCTATCACTAAGTCTCTAATGAAGAGTCCCTCCCCAGTATCATCATAGGCCCCCTATCATATCTAGGCAAGTGTTCTCACTGAGTACTCAATTGCTGAGCTGCAGTGCAAAACCAGGTACTGGTATCACCTCCACAAAGATAATGACAACTTCTTTCTTTTTCTAAAAGTAAGCATCCAAATCTTGTAATGGAGGCTTCAAATCCTTGAATCCTAAGTGGAAGAAGGCATTCCATTCCTGGGAAAGAATGGGATTTAAGGCACGCTCCTGTTCTTGATGCTTACTAGTGAACTGATTGCCAGTGTTGCTTTCCATGTGTCCCAGCCTTTTCCTTTTACCCTGGCTCTCCCTTGGAGACAGCTGTCACATCTAACTTGTATCTCTGGCTGTTTTCCTCTGACTCTGTAGAGGAGAAACCAGCCTCACATTCATTGTGGAGCTACTGGAAGTAACTTACTTGTATTACTACCTTCATGATCGTCACTGCTTCTGTTTTGTTCTCTGCTTTACTGACTGGAGCATATCCTATAGTAAGCCCTGTATAAACATACACCTTGGCACAATCTTACTGATGGACTGAGGCCCAAGTTTGGGGAGAGACAAGATACAAGGCTGAGGTAATGCCAGTAACATGTAGAGCATGGTACTAAGAGAAAACAAACCACAGGCTGCTCAACAGTCAAAAGAAAGGAAGAAGTTTAGGGAATCCTTATACTGACATCATACTTAGGATGGTCTGAGAACAAGTTGTATTATACTTGTTACTTAATGTAAATGGTTAGTAGGACTTTCAACACCAAATCTGAGAAGTACCTTGAATTAGTTCCTGCTGGGAAGAGGTTCACAGCTTTAATTAACAACTGTAAATCATCTTCTGGCCAATTTTTGCTTCCCCCTCCACCACCAGTGGTTGACTTTTCTGAACTCTTTGTTGCTTGGCGCATCCGAGCTTCTGCCTCTTCTTTCTCTCGCCTTATTTGTTCATTTATTTCTTCTATCTGAAGAATTGTAAACAAGCACAATTTATTTATTTACTGTTACATTTTACAGTGATAAAAACCCCTCTGGAATTGTTTTGAGTCTTGAATTTTGCTTAGTTTCTGTTCTGTACATTACACACAAGAAAAAAGAGCAGCTTCTCTGCTCCCATATTATTTCCATACATCCCATGCATAGATTTGGCCATCCCAGATTAGGAGCTACAGCAGGAATCCATCACAGGTTCACTAGGGAATTACATGAAAACTCTCAGGATTAAGGCAGAACTTCTGAATCTAGCATGAATTTACAGGCTAACACCTGACTTAAAGGGACAGATCCACAACAGTATTAAGAACCTAAAGCAACTAGTGAGGGCAGTTCAACATCCTGGTTGAATATACCAATTCCCAAATCTTCCAACCTGACTGCTGCCTAAGCCTGGTTATGCCAGAAATTCTCAGTTACTATGGCTGTGCTAAGTTAGCATTAACTGCAACAACCCGATTTTAGTAACTAAGTGCTTACTCAGGGTTACATGTCTACATGTACTTTGTT